GCATTTAGAGCTCTAAATACGCGGTCAGCTACGTTAAAAGTCATCTCAGGACGTTGTATTCTCGTTCCTCTCTCGAGAGATCCTTCTCGCTCGGCGGTTAAGAAGAGAAGTAGTGCACCTCCTCGCGTGCAGTCTCGACTCAGACATTGTAAATATCCTTAGCCTTGGAGACATCACCCGCGCTGTTTGCGCTTTCCACGCGAAAATGACGCATTTCCGTGCGCGGAAGGGATCCGGTGCACCTGGTCGCGAGCACGTACCGCGCCGCGGCAGGTATTCGCTTATGTATACGAGGCACCATGTGCCAATATCCCTCGTTCGTGCGGCAGGTGACGTAGTTTCCACAGAACGGACGGTAAATATTAGATCCGCCGCGCCGTCGAACGCGAGACAGTTTTTGTAATCATCCATCAAACTCTAACGCGGTATATTTCATAATAGCAGCCATCTCGTGCGCGCGTTACGTCGAAACCTGTCGATGCAAACGTGGATATTTTTCCGCGGATAGGTGCGCATCCGTGTTCGTAGAAGGAAAAGCACGGCGTTTATCGAGCGAATCAAAGCGCAGCTTTTCGACGAATCCCAATGAAAGCCGGCGCGCACGTATTCTGATTCTCTCCGCATCTCGATCGATTGTCCGCAGTTTTCGCACTCGGGAACGGATCTATTAATATCCGGCGAATGAGAACGAGTCGCGAGTAAAATCTACCTAATCGGATCGATTTAACGTTACTCAGGCTTACGTTACAAACGTGGGCTCTCAACTAAAGGTTAAAGAAAGCTCTTGCGAACGAGGACTCAGGTCGCGCTCGTGCTTCGCCTTCTTGCCAGCAGCCGGTTGAGAATGGAGAAGGTTAACGCGGAGGAGAGCCGAGTCAACATCAGGAACCGATCTTCCGTAAAAGGACGAGAGCCGCACGTCGCTCATCCTCTTTCTTGCGATGGGGTTAAGTAAATCTCGTTCGTTCTTTGGACAGTCGGCCGCTCCCATCCCGCCGCGAGAGAAGACGACTCCGCGTTAGTTCCGTTCGGTCGACACGTAGAAAGTGGAATAAATCGATGAACTTAGGTGCCGGCGCGTGACCTGTCTTCAAATCGGTACAGAGTCGCTTCGTGGCAGCTATGTCAGCTTCGTCGTCGTCGGTGCAAGGAGGAGAGGACTTCCTCTCTACTGGCATTTCTTCTTTTCTTCCCTTCGACAACGAAACGGCTCGAGCGAAGTGCACTCGCTCGCCGCGCGCGCGGCGTTTATTATCGCCTTTCACCGTTTGACGATCGGTACGTCATACCTGTCGCGGATTTCTAATACGACTTTACGGGGTATATTTATGCGCGAATAATGAAGCGCCGCCGTGAGAATGCGAGATCGGCCGATTTCGAATTCCGACGTCTTCAACGAACGTGGGTAAGCGAGTCAGCAGCCTCCGCCTGAGAGCTCACCTCTTTTCAACCTGACGCAATGCACGAGTCTCCTGTGGAACGGTCTCTTTTCTTAGTCGTCTCTTAGGCCCGTATTAATAGTCGTCATTTGAAACTTGTCTCACGTCAGATACTGAGATCTGAATTTAGAGTTAGATTTTAGTGTTTTTACTTGAGTTATATATAATATGTGCGACATTACATTTGTAATCGCGATTCATTTCTAAAAACTTACATTTATCTTTATATTGAAATCTAAATATCTCACTTGAGACAAATTTCAAATAACGACTATTGATTGATATTTACTATTGATCTCATTTACGACGAGTTTCAAAGTAATAACTAGTGATATGGGTCTCAGATTAGTCTCACTAGTTATTTCAAAATTCGGCTCACTTCGCAAATGAGATACTCATATTTGCATTCAGAGTCAGATGACAGTACTTCAGTTGAATCCCGATTACAGACATCAAGCACACATATCGTAATTTAACCAAAGAATTTGGATCCAACTTCGAAAAAAATTTGAGTATCTCACATGAGAGGATTTCAGACGACAATTGTTCATACGCGCCTAATAGCTGTATTTCAGGTTATCACTTAAAACTTATATCATGTGAGATATTCATTTTTATTCAGAGTTAGACACAAATTTTTCAGTTGAATGATGGCACATATGGCATTTATATCTGTTATCGCGACTCAACTGAAAACAAACTTTCATCTAATTCTGTATTCAGAGATCTGAGGAAATTCCCTATTAATATTATAGTTGTTACTTGAAACTTGTCTCGAATAAGATACTCGAGCATCTGAATTTAGAGGCTGCATTCCGAAATGCACTGCCAGTACTGAAAATCTATAGTTTATGTATATTATAGAATTTCAGTACTGGCAGTGAATTTCGGGACGCAGCCAGAGTTAAATATGAATTTTCGCCTTAATGCGACTAGAAATGTAATGTCGCATATATTATATAACTCATGTAAAAAACCCAAATCTAACTCTGAATCGGAGTATCTCACGTAAGATAAGTTTCAAGCAACGACTGTTAATACGTTAATTTGTCGTACTTCAGATAAGTTTGGAGTAGTGACTATTAATATCAGAGAAAATACAATATGGGAAAATACAAATATCGTACTTGCTATTCGTTTAAGTGCGAGCTTGAAACGATGCTTGAAATTAACACTCCTTGACAAGCAATTTCATAATAAGGCAAAAAGAGTAACTTTCTAAATTGAACATAACGCAATCGTAACTTCTCTGGAGTGCTGTGTTGTAGTTTCAACCGCAAGAGTCCGCGATCAATTTGCAGGCTCAAATCGAGCGGAAGAAACGAGCTCGGTGACATCCGCACGTACGAATGAGTATCGCTAGGAGATATTAGAGATCGCGTTCCCGCGCGCACTTTACATACGCACCGCCGCGTTCGAATAGAAAGTCGAGCTCCACACGTTAGTGGACTGTGCGATACGTAACCCTAGATTATTGTCTCTCGCGGCTCGACAATCGGCACGATTAATCGCCGTCTTTGTGAGAGGGTTATCGACGAAACGAACGTACAAATCGTACCTGATGACCCTTGGCACCATAACTTACAACATCGCGCCCATTATCGCGTCAGGACGATAAGCCGCGCGGGGGAGAGGTGGGGAGGGGTCCGCTGTAATTTATTACGAAAATCATCATCGCCCACGCGAGTGTTTTTCTCATTCTGTCGCGCGAAAGCCGCCATCAGTGCCGTCCAAATCGCACAAATCCCCGTCTCGACGATAAATCCACCGATTATACTACTTCCGTTTTATCACGCCGCCATACGCTATACACCTTCCTCGCGAATTACATGTCATCGGTATGCCATAAAACGATGTCGCTCTGTGGCGAACGGTGGGACGCGAAATTCACAGTTTTGCAGGGAAAAAAGATAACGTTTGCGCGCACATGTTTCCCAAAACATTACGGAAATGCAGGAGTCCAGGCGCCTGCCATTCTGGCGCAATCAAGAGAACAATCAGCGGTTACGGGACACTGTGTATATCACGGCCGATAAGACCAGGACTCCAACGACGTTGCACAGTGCCCGTTATGACTTCGGTGAAAAAAATATCGCCGAGGCTCCGCCGCAGAAATTCACGCAGCATGCATATGCATCCGCACCTCGGCGAAGAATCGTTTTTCCGCGTTATTAAACCGACTGCGCGAATTAATTCGGCGCGATTTTATTGCGCAAGTCGAGTCCACTAAGCGCGCGACCTACTAAGATAACGAAATGCAACCCCGAGACGTGTGTTATGCATCTGCTCCGCGCACTACCTTCTGCTCCCAGACCTATTAATTAAGACTCGTGCGATGCGCCGCGTCGCGATTATTGATTAATCACCCGCATGGCGCATCGCGCCTGTCTGACGTGCTGTAATTCGATACCGATAGATAGATAGATCTGTGTTTCGGTTAATTGAGATAACGACACTCTCGCGCGTTCCTCATGAACTCATGCCGCCGCGGCGAACGTAAGCAGCTCGCGTGCGAATGAATAAGTCTTTGAATCACTCGGTATCGCGACGCCCGACTAGTTAGCAATAAGAAGTCGGCCGTATGCGGTATTCCAACCGCAGCCTTTCTTACGAGCTTCGTGTCAGGATTGCTGCAAATCCGACAGATTGCAACAACCGGAGAAGTATTCTTTGAATTTCATCCCTCGCCACTGAGTTTTTAATACATATGACTCGGCAAAATTTGTGTTCAAGAAAAGGATTCAAAACTTGGAGAAAGAGAGTATTCATTATATTGAGTGAAAAATGTTTTGTAAACATAGGTCGAGAAATCAACCCTTTTAAAGTTGCAAGTGTTTTTCCGTTTTGATAACACAAATTATTCGTGCGCTTCCATCGATCACGTGCAATAAATGAACGAACGAGCCATATTATTATTTTGACGTTTACAAAAGGTATTCTACATGTTCTGCATCTATTTCTACATGCTTGACATCTTCATATTACAAAATTTTCCGATTTGGACATTTTTTTGCGTAGAGACGTCGTACAGAGTATTTCCATTGACAAGACCATGAAATACTTGTCTATCATTTCACAATTAGAATAATAAGCTTATATAATTGAGAGGATTCTTGCTACGGCACGTCTCTTGAACACTACGATTATTGATCATAAAGACAAATGGCTATGCTGTACGTAATATTACTGTATAGAAATAGGATCGATTCGAAGAAGACAAAAAATTTGTGAAAAGAGATATATAAACACCTTTTATGAGCATAACAATAATAACATGATAAGAGATATTCGTTCATTCACCGTAGGTAATCAATGAAAGCACGCAAATAACTTGCGTTAAAAATATTTATAAAACATTTAAAAAGGTTTATTTCTTGATCTGTGTTTACTAAACATCTTTAACTCAGTATAATGAGTACTATCTGCCCTGTAAGTGTTGGCCTGTTTTCTTTAAACACTCCGTATACGTATTTCTTCTTTTTTTTATAAACAAGGCGTCGTTTGTGCTTGTTTTCTCTATAACAATGAAAATAAATGGGCGCTCTGGATCTTCTGTTGCAGCAACAATAAGTCAGGATCCTGGCAGCGCGGGCAGGATTCCCAGCGATCTAGCCCCAGTCCCAGCAGGCCCCATCGCGCGCAGGAAGCGGCCACACCTCACACAGCTCCCGTTTCCGTAAGTACTTTAATCCCCCACCTCCTTCCGGAAGAGCGATATTTTTTTTTTCATCGTCGGGTAACAATGGCCCCGCGTGCTATCTACGTCGGATCGGCCATGATAATATATTGTTGTCGGTAGACCCGTGCTGGACGCGACGGTAAATATAACGGGCACTATTAGGTAATGTCACTCGTTCGCTAAATGAGGATATTACGTATCACGCGTACTTATCTCTCGGGCATATCGAGAGAATTTTAAATTATGCGTCCAAGGCTTCAATTATTTCAATGTAATTATTTATTTAATATCAATTCCATGCGCGAAGAGCATTACTTCTGCGCAACGGTACCTGAATCCTCGTTTTTGAGGGACCAATCAAGGCTAAATAACAAAGGAAACTCGTCTCAACTTGATATTAATCTCATTAATTTGCGAAAAGTTTGCCGTGTGAACAATATAACGCCTCGGTTAATAATCGGCGAGAATTTTTTCATTCTCCTCCTTGCAGTGAGACAGATGAAAATCGCGCGATTAACTCCTAGGAGGGAGTATCGACGCGCCTTTTGTTCCGAATGTGAGCGCAATTAGCAGCCGTAAACGTGTACCAGTAAATTGCGACGCGAGACGACGACTCCGTCTACGACATTCGCGCTGTTCGGTTTAAGCTCGCAGCGGCATAAAGCCGCGAACTTAATCGCGCAGGACAGTCGAGTTAGTCGCGTGAGACATTCGCCGGGTTTAATTAAGCCGACCTCAAGCGACGCGTCGCTAATCTTTTGGCCTCCAGTATCACGGCAACGTACATATGTAAGCTGTTGCAGCGCGACCGTCCGTCTAATTTCGTCGACTTCTATCCGTGTGCGGGAACGCGCGCGAAGAACGGCTAAAGCCGATTTTCCGGGAGAATTGCGCGCCGGCAACAAGGAGCGAACCTGTCGATAACAGCTCGTCTTAATCCCAAATATTCCACCATGCATGTTCCACCATGCATGTGATGACTCCACAGTGAAATGATCGAAGAACTCAGGAGCGCGCTCAAAATCATGAGATCGCGCTTCATAGTTTGGCCTCCCCACGCATCTTCAGCCTTCATCGGCCGATCGCGTCTCGCCCTTGCAATCTTCAAGAAATCTTCCTTCGAAGCAGCATCTCCGACGGAGATGAAAACTCGGGCGCCTTCGATGCTCGATTACGCGATACATCTCGACGTTTCCCTGCGAAGGGTCAATATATATTACGCTAATGCGACTCGGTCGGTTCATTCATCACCCCGCCGGCCGCCTTTGCCCCTGGGGGGAACGGCTATTTTCTCGTAGAATCCGGCATTTCCGACGTCCGCGTGCAGCTGCAATATTTCATCCGTGCGCGCGCGTGCGTGAAGTAATCTCTAAATATGCAACGCGCGTATTCTCCTCTCTCATGGCGGCGGGCGGAGGAGATATGTCGCGGGGGTGTCCTGATCCGTAATTGCCGGCGACGCGGAAGCGATCATCGATCGGCGACGCGTGAGTAATGGCCGATGATGTCGGTGACGTCTCGGCCACGGCCGTATACGCGGCCTGCACGTGGAGACGCATCGTGCCGCACGGCGCTTGCACGCGACTGCGGTGTACCGCGTTACGTGGTGCATCGCGGCCGGCTGGCAACGACCTACATGCATCATCCGCAGTGACGACAGTGCGTGTCGGTTCGTTAACGTCGCGGCGTGTCGTGTCGAACTGACGCTATCCGACGCGCGTTTGTGTGCGCGTCGGCGCAACCGGAAGCGGACATTTCGTAGCGAGAAAGCACCACGTGCGTGCCGCCAGGACTTGTAGCGACTGCAATTTACGGTCTTAATAATATTCTACGCGAAATAGCTACTTGTCGTACGTGCGAGAGCACGCGTCGGCCACGACTGTCTTAGCCTGGATGCGCTTCGCGAATTCCGATGCGTTTTTGAAACATTCGCACGAGAAGTCCTAGTCAGGAACTGCAGGGAGTGTCATGGGAAAGATTTCGGGTTTTGAAGGGCGCATGGTACTCAGCTCGGAGCATGCAGCACTCATACAGATCGATCAAGGTAACTCCCGTAAAAGTTCAACTTGTCGATGTGACTGTGCACTCCGAAAGTTCTGAGAACCTGTAAACTTCTTCAGCCTGTACAGAATATTTGACAAATTTCGAATATAAATTGTCTCTTGTTAGAAAATGTTAGTGAAGATATGTCCAGGACCACATAAAACAATAATAAATCTCCCAAATCTCTCTCTTGTCGTAAGTTAATATCAAACGAAACTCGTCTCGAGACGAGACGAGAGACAGTCTGAGTCAGGAAGGTAAGCTTTCCATCCGCATTTCCATAGCACAGTTTAAATAAGCGTGATTATACGTGTAATGCATACATGTAGGGCGCGTTTGAAGGATATCAGTGATTGAAATTTGAGGGTGCGCGGCGTGCATCGCTTTCTCTCTGCGTGGGAATCTTAATTAGTAGAACGTCGCGCGCACGGTGGCGAGGCAGCTGCAGATACAATCAACCTTTGTGGCTCGACACCGTTTGCACCCCTTTCATTTCCCGCTTGTGCGCGGGCCGCACGCGAAAGGATGGACAGAAACCGCGAAATCAACGCTTTCGTCGATCACCGCAGATAAGACGCGCGCTTCGCAGTGACGCGCTCGCCGGCCGATAACGCGCGCGAGAATAGATCGATAAGTTGCAGGTAGGAACGCTGGCTGTTTCGATAGCGATGATTAATTGTCACGCGTGCGCGTATTTGGCGTATAAACAGGAGAAATTATCTCAGCCTCGGCGCGCGCGCGCGCGCGAGAAAGGACCTCGTCCTCAGCTTTCGACGGGAATTATTCGCTGCACACATCTGTTCGGCAATCCTTCGCACGTGTCGTGCTCGTTAATATTCGTGACCGCATAAATAACCATTTCTCGCGCGATGGAAGAGTTACAGGTGAGATTTAAATCCAGGGCGCTATTCGCGACTCGTCAGTCGCGATCGGAGGAAGCGCGGCACGGCACGATGCATGTGACGAATCGTCGACTTTAAATCAAACCGGTTGCCTCGCGACCCACAAAGCTCCGCGATATAATATTGGATCGGGTAACCCGGCTGAGAAAAGCACACCCGATATCGATACCGACACAAAGATACGAATGATCAAGCGCGTTCGTGCGTGCCTAGTCGAATCGTGGGAAAGATACGTGCAACGAAACTTTCTCGCGAGGGTTATCGATTGTCATCAACAATTTGCTTCCGAGTATGCTCGCGCGTGTGCGTGATGTATATCACGCCGCGCGCTGAAAATAAGCGTGACCCTCTTCTCGGGCTCTCGTCGACGCGGGTGCTTATTAAGAAGCGTTATTCGGGAATTATGTATTTGGATAGTCACTATTCTATCAAATGTCACGCTTCTCCGACGTTTCGCCGACTATTATCGGACAATTGACGTATTGTTGCAGCCTTTGCACGATCACAGGACGAGTGGCCACGCCGGAAGGGAGAGAAGGCGAATTCCCGGCCTCAGCAAGGCTCAACGGCGCATCAAAGCATCGAGCACTCCGGCTCTTTTGGACAGGGATCATGACAGGTACGTGTAAATCGGATCACCTAGAGTTCCTCATAATAAGAATTAGAACACTGTCCGCAATGTATGAAGGAGTGAGTGAGTGAGTGAGTGAGAGAAGCTACAGCGCGTCTCGTCATTTCAGTCTTAGAAGTTTCTTTCTCATTTTTATTCGCTTCTTCCCTATTAATGGCAGATAGGGTCCGGTCCAATCGGGATTCATCATGCAGTGGCCTAACTTTTACTTGAGGAATTTTAGAATCATTCTGCCAACATTGATATTCATTCAAAAATTATTAATAAATTATTAACTAATTGTTATTAATTGTTAAAAATCTTGAGGCTCCTGTTTTATTGCAGGTGTCATTTTGTTAACATACCATTGTATTTTAATGTATCTTGCTTCTGACGTCTATAAATATCGATAATGGACCAGGAGCCTTAAGTAAAATTTTAAATAAAATTCATTTAAAATTGTCCGCAAACAAACGACGTTTGAGAAATGAAGAGTGAGATGTAGAGTTTTCGATGTAGCTATCATTACGATCGCGCAAAGATTTGGTTCAATTTTCCCAATTAGCCGGACGCTAATGAAAATGTTCCAGCGTACTCTTGGGTCCCTGGTGTGTAATAATCCCAAGAGCTTCCTTCATTCTCTTTCTCTCTCTCTCTCTCTCTCTCTGGCGGCTAGAAAATTACAGTTCACTTGGAGGCGCGATCGAGGATGTACCTACATCAAAAGCGCGCCGTCGTAGCCTATATTATTCACGGATGGCAAACGTAGTTGCCGCGTGGGTGGCGTCCGTACCACCCGCTTGCGCATTCTCTCCCGGGAAAACCAGGATCCCCCACGAAAAGGACAGCACGAAGGGTGGTCACGAAGCCGACAGTGAAAATTTCTATCCCTCTCAGTCGTCTCTACCTCACGTCGCAACTATTCCCGATATCTGTCTCCGTTTCGTGTCTCCGGCCACCTCGTCTCGTCTATAAGCGCCCGACGTGCATCGACCGGCTAACTTATGAAACTCGCCCGCTGCGTTCGTGTTGGCACGTCGTACGCAGTCGCAACTGCAAGTGCAACTGCGAAATTGGTAACGCAGGCGGCGCAGAACCGACCGACCGACTCTGACCGTATGGTTCGCACGGCGAGCTTCCTGCGCCGATATATTCGGGGCGTGTGTGGCGACGACAATAAAATTCCGTCTGAGCTGCGAATTTATTCACGCGAATGAAAGTATGTGGATCGAATCAGATCTTATACGTAAGAACTCGAAGAGGTTCGTGCTGGGAATAAAATAACAGAAAGGGCCTACTTGAAATACTGAAGAGTTCTTCAAAGTTGTTGCTGTAGTACTTGACAACTGCGCTCGTTAAGAATTGCTGATATGCGCTTGATACCCTACGGAAACTAGACACTCGAGACACTCGATTCCTGTGCAAATTCGATTCCTTCTTTCTTCGTGGCAATCCCGCGGCAATTTATTCGATCGATCTGGCTTATGTCGCGAGCGAAATAAAAGTCAGATCGACCAAAATTGCGAGATCAATACAACGGCTGTGTGACTCGATCGGCAGAGTGATTGAAATTTTGCTCGGTGGGTTTACTGATTAATTCAGTGTATCGAAATTAATAATCTTTTGAATATATGATCGCGACTTCGCGCGAGTATTCATCAGGCTTCAGACAAGTTCAGATGCGATGCTGATTTACGCGGTCCGATTTTCGCAGAGTGTCGCGTGAATTTGAAGAGTCCGTGAGCCTCGGGAACTCGTCGAAGTAATTTGACAAGCGAAAATAATGAAACTTAGGGGACGTACGTGTGGTGAAAAATCGATGACACCATTCTTCTTTTTCTTTATATTGCTTGTCGATAAAACGATGCGCTTTATTGGATATCTATCTTGCGCATGACAAAAACGTCGAAACTGCTTTGATGAAGTTAATACGGATCGCCGAAAAACACAAAAGGAAAGCGGCTGACGTAGTCGAAAAGTGTATCGAGCAATTTGGCGAATGTAGCGAGAGAAGTTTCGCGCGGACGAGATGACAGAGCGAGACGATTATGAGATAGCACAATGGGGCAACGTCTCCCGCGGAGTAAATCGGAAACGTACGATGCCCCGTAATTTCATTCCAACCCGTCGTCCGTGCGATCGCGTCTCCGTCGCGGCTTTGACTCCACTGTGGCTGTCCACGGAAGCAGAGGAGAGAGCTACCCACCCCGAAGAACAGGTCGCTGACCAACGGAGAGTGATCAAAAATGTCCCGCTGATAGGCGACAAAGACCGGCTGCGCGCATCAAAGGTCGCCTCTGATCCGCCGGATGCCGTGCTTTCCGAGCTTTTAACGCGACCTGCCTCGTGAGATCTCTCTCATCGTGTGCGGCCGGGTGTCCAGTGTGTACCTATGTGTCGTGGAAAGGTACGTCTATCGAGGCGCGAATAAGAACGTTATTTCGGCTGACCTACCTGGGGTGCATTGACTTCGAACCCGTCAATACACGCATACACACACGTGCACTGCATGCTCGCGCCCGCGCACGTGCGCGGCCAGTACCATCAGATGTTCTAATTACGAGCTCCATAGAAAACGTCCCACCTTGCTTTTTATCTCGCTACTTCCTGCCATCCTCCGACAAGTTGCCGCTTCCACTTGACCGCTAAGAGGAAGGGACGGCTGCTTTGATAAGGGGAACCTAAAAAAACTCTTCCTCGACCTACGTCATCTTCCGCCATCGTACTGGCATTGATTAACTCCGCGTTACTCTCCGACGTTGCGACGTTTACCTGACGGATTGCCCGGGTTGTACTCGGAACGCATCGCGGTTTATCTCTCCGCGGTTTTAATATTAAGCGATACAAAAGCGGCAAAATATACAGAGAAGATCGGCGAGGAGACTCACCCAAATAAATAAATAAATGTTTGAATTTTTTTCTTTTCATCTTTTTATTTTTATTTTTTTTTTTTTATATATCTGGTGCATTTTACGATCGAGTCAATATAAATGCCGTGGTCACTTTCGTCTCTTGTACAAGTTCGCAAATAACAGAAATCGATTGAATTTAACATCCTAGTAGCGGGTGTTCCATGCGTGCAACTATCGCTAGCCATAGGTAGCTTTTGCCGACTTCGCAGCGAATACTGTAACATCGTTTGGTAAAGTTAACATGTTGGTTTCCATCGGTCGTTCGAAAGCTTAACTAAAATTTCAATAATCAAAGACACGGCAAATATTTCTCTCCCGTCCGACGCGTGTGTATTTTTTCCCTTCTCTTTACTTCATTTCATTGCTCTTCTATCGGCCGTACATCTAATTATAATCTATAATTAGTCGCATGCAATTAGTTACATGCTGCACGTGAACCAATGAGACGTTTTATCAGTGTCATAGTGCCGATCAGCTGCCACCACCGCGGCATTCAACTTGATAGTATCGTGTCAGCGTTAATTTATACCATCTCTTGCGATTTTATCATTTGGCTGTTTGTATCATTTTTATTTATTATATTTTGTGTACTCATTTCAATTTATATATTCTACATTTCACTTCTATTATTAAATATTTTGCTTTCAGCTCAACATCACAATAACCGGGACTGCTGAAAATTCGAGATAATAGGGAAAAATTCCGTAAATAATAGGCGAAACCTGAAAATAGGGGCTGTTTTTCCCGCGATCGGCAAATAACGGGCGAAGCCGAAAATACGGAATATTTCGTGAATGAAGCGTTAGGTCGGTCAACATCAGTAATGTTAAAGTCGAGAGATCTCGGGTGTCGGAATCTATTATCAATCTACTTCCTTTCAAGATTCTTGCGGAACGCGCTGAGATTAAGAATTCGTGAGTACCAGCCGTCAAACGCCGCGCGTTGAATGCAGACTGGTCTCCCGCTGATTAAGGAGAGAACACAATTCCCCCTGTTACCACTCCGATAAATGATGCCTTTTGTGACTGTCGCCGCCACCCCCGCTTACGATGTCGTAAAGAAGGACTCAAAGAAAAAGAACAAGAGGTAGAGAAGAGATAGAGGAGAAGCGAGACGGCGGCAGGGTGCAAATGCGTCGCATCCCTCACCTTACACCTGACCTGACACGACCCGAAGCGACCCACGAAATCCATTCCTAGAAGAGTTCACGTGCATACGCCCGCACGCACACGGCCGTGGGCTCGTGCACTCTCCAGAGAGCTCAGTCGCCGATGGTACGTCGGCCGTTGCGTTTCCTGTTTCGGCATCGACCGGTTGTCAGATACTGCATTTTTTCTCTTTCTTTTTTCTTTTCTTTCTTTTTCTCTCTTTTTCTTCTCCGAAGTTGACCACGTCACGGCGCATCGGCGAAAATCGAAAGAGTCGGCCTTTATTTTCGATTATCTCGAACATTGTTCGCGACGCGAGAACACCTGGTCGAGAAGATGAGTGACAGTCGTGTGTTAATTGAATTTAATTCAGAGTCAACGAACGCCTCCGCATCCTTCGTTTGCGTCTTACCTCATGAACGAGCTGGTCTGCCCGTGCGCGTGTCAGAAAATTGGCTATTGCGTGAAAATTCTGCAAAGAACCAAGCTGTGACTTCGTGCGGTGAATGTCAGGGCTTCTACGTAAAAGTGACACGTAGAAAGTGAGAGTGAGTGAAACAATCTCGCGGACGGGTAATCACAGCGTTCGCAGACAGAGGATAAAGGATTGGCACGAGAGGAAAGACAAGGCACTCGTCTGTGACAAATATCCTTATGATGTGGTGCGTGATTCCCTATCGTCTTCTTCCGATTAAACTGACTCAGACGTCCGTCTATTGTGACATACGAATGCTTCTTCGCTTGAACGTTATATATTCCTGTGTCGCTGAAAGGCTCGTTCATAAACTTGAAACGTCAACTACAGAATTGTTTTCTCACGTCGCGCTGATATCGAAGCAACGAAAATGTTCTTTTTATTATGAATTCTTCGGCTTGGAGTAAAATACATTTTAGAGAAGATATTCAAACAGCGAATAATATATATTTCGAATTATATACTTGGAAAAAGAAAATCAGTTGATTCAAACATCAACCTGATTATGCAAACCAGATTCAACAGTAAAATACGGACAACTAATTATGTGGTTGCTGCAACCACAGAGCAATGGCCGAGTTACAGTAATGATATTTGGTTGCTCCAACCAGAGTGTATCTATAGTAAATGTCATCTCAGCTAATCAATTTTTGGTTGCCGCAATCCGATCACGCATAACACTGAAAAAATTATTATTGTATTTTGAAGTAAATAATATTTGGCACATACGATTTAGTTGGCATTATCATGTTTTTACTTGTGTCAAATACATATATTATTGAAAAAGCAAAACACATATAGCGGCAATTAAATTAAAGTCCTTCAGTAAACTACATTGATATAGTTGATATATCAGAGTGCATGAGTCATATGCCGCTCACCACTAAATATTTCTGGTGCATCTTATTTTCCGTGCAACAATTAAAAGTGAACGACTTCACGCGACAGATCAAAAGTTTCTCAAAAGAGTGAAGATACAACTTATATCCGTGGATTAACTACCGGTGGGCTTTGCTAGAATCTCAATTTCATGTTTAACCACAAAGATGTGTAACGATAAAAAGCAGAAGGGCACGATAAATTATGACACCTCCCTCAGCGTTCTCGTCAGAGAGAAGTTGGTCGAGGAGGAGAAGCTTAAAAGAGGACTCCGCACGCTGGGTCCAGCGGGACAGCCTACGTAAACACTTCCCTCAAAACTTCGTGACCTGAAGATTCACGGTAGATTAGTTGAGAAATTTTTCACATGGATTCTCCCCCGCGACGTCGTCCGAATTGAAGTCGAGACCTCGCAGAGCGACTTGCTAACTCATTAAAACAGTATCGCGTTTATATTACTACGATGTTAACAGCACGCGATCTGCGCAACTGCGCCTCCGGCGATCATTAAAACACCTGTACAATGATAGGGTCGACGCAGCGAAAATATTCTCCCCGCGGCGTACAAACGAGGCGAGGCGACCGATTAACGTCATTAAATATTCCGCGCGACGTAATCCAAACAAGTGCGTTCGCATAGCCGCGATAATTGCACGGAAACCCCTCCGCCATGGGATGCGATCGTATTACCGGGTGTATGTACGCACATTTGGCGCGAGGACGAAATAATTCAGGTGCTCTCGATGCGGTTGATGCGATCGCGAGAACGCGCCGTAGCCGAGTGCGTCGCGGAATATCGCCGCGTTGGTAATTCACGAAACACCAACGCAAGCGTCCGTTCTTCCGCGGAACGCTTACGAAATATTCGCGTTTAGGTTTCCTCTTTCGCGAGGAATGTCGGTGCTGTTCAGTTTCGGATAGTCACTTCGTCAGCTGCAATCGTCGGCAGACGCCCCGCGGCACTTTCAGCCGAGCACGTCCGTGACGTCCGTTTATCGGTCTCCGCGCGGCTTCCGACAGTGAGAAACAACAAAAAGCGAATTTTTATGCGAGTCTCTTTCGTCCGCGACAGAATCGCAAGAGGAGGGATTCGCGAAGGAATTGTCTCGCGATTTCTGGTTTAGGCGCGACCGACCGATCAGCCGTAACACCAAGGAAAAATAAACGAACGAATTGAGCACGATGGATCCGAGGCGCTGCTCGTTTCTGTGAGATAAAGCATTTAATCCTCGAAATCGGATGTCGATTTGAAAACGAATGAGTCCCTCTACGCTTTCCTGTGTAGCCGCATGCAGCGGACGTGAGATAGAGAGGAAATTTACTTCTCAACTTTGCACGTTAGCGTTGCTAAGTTAGAGCGGATCAAACTCATAATTTGTAAAGCCCATTTTGGGTCCGCTCAAACTCCGAACGTCCTGTACTCTAATCTCCAATTAGGGATTCATTCCTTTTTAATTCTCGATGTTTCTCCCTCTCTCTCGAGAGAAAGGATTAAAGTCAATCGACAGAGATAGGATCGCCGGATATCGGATGATATTGAATAATCCCGTGGCTAATGCTCAATATCGAAGAGTCGGCTCTTAGAATTGACAGGGGAGTTCAGCTTGGAAAGATACGGAATCTCATCCTATCCTGTCGATTCTTCGCACTCGAGATGCCTCTTCGTGCGGGATGAATAAAGGTTGGAACACTAATTCTGTTTGCAGTCGACACTGGTCCGGCGATGAAGAGGACGAAGGAACGACCGGTCATGTGACCACCGAGCATCCCTTAGCCGAGGCCACGATTCCTCTGGTCAGTCACTCCAGGCTGCAGGAACCGTCGTCCGTCCTGAATGTCGCCAATGTAACCACCGGCGGAAGCCAGAACGCGCATCGCGCGGGCGCGCAGAGCCAACAGGAGAGCGTGTTGCAGAAATTCCGTAAGAGCTTCTCGCTGAGGTTCCACAAAAAGGGCAGCAAAGAGAGCAACGAGGAGTGTCCTGCCGAGGATAACGACGGCTCGGGACTCTTGGACGAGGAGGAGGAGAGGGAAACGCCCTCTGTAACCTCCGAGCAAAGCAACCACCACAAGGACGATCCTAGCAATGACCAGAAATTCCGGTTCGTATCGCGTCCCTTGCCCTCTTTGACCGGACGTGATTTTTCATTCAAGGGCCGATGATGCATACCTTAGCGCTCTGAATCGTTCCTAACGCGTCGATAAGCTTTCTCATTCATGTGCTTCGAGCGCACCGCTTGATACAGGTTATTATCGCGAAGAAATCACGGAACATCGCGTTTATACTATTTCTGATGAGAGCAGTCTCTGCTTGTAAATATTAAAATCGTTTGTCATTTCTTCATTCTTGTAGTTCATCATTTTTTATAGTTTTTAACTTGTCTCTGAGAGAATCATACGTTAGGAAGAAAGTATCAATTTCTGGACACCCAACTCTGGATATTCTTATCGTTCTGATCTTTAAATACGAATATTTAAACATTCAACATAGAGAATATGTATACATACATTGAATACACACATGTATTCTATGTTGAAAGTTTAAATATTCGTATTTAAAGGTCAAAACAATGAGAATGTTCAAAATCAGACGTGTCCAGGTATTGGTGCCTTTAGTACAGGGCAGTCTCAGATTCTTCCCGATTTTAATTCTATCTGTAGATTGAATGACGAATTAGAGTGTCGACATTTCCGTTCTTCATAGAACCGTATTTCACACTGCAGAAAGAAAGTTCTTTCGAGCAGCGAGTCTAAGGTTGAATCAATCCGATTGTATAAGCGTAAATGATCAAATTAAGTTACGCGTTTGACGTAAGCGGCAGAAGCCGTATCGTTCCTCTAACAACATTTACCTTGAGGAAGCTTGACCGCATGGTTACTTGATTGATTATGTTTAGGTTCGGCCCACTCGTCTGGAGGACTAGCAAGGAAAGGAAAAAAGGCAACAAAGCTGCTCGAAATGCGAAATGCAACAGCGGAGACAGCGGTATACAGATCGAGGTAAGGGGAAACTCTCGATTCCTTACATTTTTGTACGACACGAAGGCACACAAAGTCTCCGGAAGACGTCTCAGGGCTGAAGAAATTGGAGATTTGTCTCCAGACACGAAAAGACGTCTTAGGCGCGAACTAAGAACAGCCTTAATCTCTCAGGCGCTCTTTAGACGTCTCCTGGGTGATTTCGCGAGGTCTTTGTAATGTGCACGTTGTTCGACCTGGTATCAACGAAGACAGAGGAAGGAGAGAGGAGGGAAAGGGAGACAAAGTCAAGATACGACAAAAGGAAGCAAGTATTGCGAACGTCTCACCTAAATGATGTTTCCCATGAATAGATGGTATCTGGTGGAGCGTTGACTGGGGGCAGCGGCGGAGGAGTGATGGGAGGTGGCGACAGCTCCGAGTCTCATGATACAGACGACATCCCCGACGACACCGACAGCCCTCCGGCTCTTCGTAGGCGAGTCGCCGATAAATCGCGACCCCAGTCCGAGCTCATCAACCAGATACTGATTGACAAGTTCAAGGTAAGCTCCGACCCTTCCGCTTCACCACTCTGCTAATGATACCGCACTTCCTCCTCACGGCACGCGATATCCCAGCGCGCTAAAAATATCGCTCATGATATTGAGCGACATTAACGTCCCCGTCGGTGTGTATGTGTGTGTGTGTGTGTGTGTGTGTGTGTGAGGCTAATAAAACTAATTAATGCAAATGGACCGATAACAATCACGTTTGCTTCGGTACTCAAGCGAATCTCTCTCGAGCGAGCGACTTCGTTTCGCTGTTCACTTTAAGAACGTTGGAACCGGAATAATCGACAAGTGTTTCCATAAAAAGGCGAAATAGTTTTTATCATAAGTCATTTTTATCGTAAGTCCGATCCCGTGTGTTATCTCCGAGATCCGTTTCCTTCCGCGGCGCGGCGCAGACGATGACTTACATTAGTCACTAATAGTAACACGATAATCAACAACGGCTATCGGACGTGATTGTAACTGTTTCCTCTGGCACGATAGTCGGCATTAGTCACCTTTGTGTACGATTTGACCACGCTCGCAGAGATTCGCTGTTCCGTTCCGCGATAGCCGTTTTTATATCGCGAGCGCCAGGATACGAGCGGAGGAAGCGGGCGCCTCGTGTGTCACAGACGATACGCGACAGTTTGCGCGATCGTCCGCAATTCAGCAAGTGACTTGAAGAGTCCGCTGTGTTTAGAGTTCGTGGTTATATCGGATCGCTCGTTCTCGCATGCGATGTGACGACGCTAATCGATCGCTAATTCAATCGCTCCGTGAAAATTCGCGCTGTCGGCGGCGAGGAGCGATGTCGGCCATCGACGAAGAACGAAAAGTGAAGTATCGCAGCCGAGCGTTAATCCGAACGAGCACTCACAAGCGACGTTCTCGTATTCTGGAAAAGCTGCTTTATAAACCGACTATATTTGTTTGTACGCAACTGTGCGAAAATCACGCGAAATCCCGCTAAGTCAGAGACCGGATTCAGAAAGCAATTTCGTTAGAGGAGGATCCACAACAGTCACCCGCGCGCGCGTCGCTTGGACAAATAAAAATACGTCTGCTGCACCTGGCGCGCCGCTATATACACCTACATCGAAGTGACACGTACCGAGCTTTCCGAAACGGTCTTTGTTATTTTTCACTTGGCTGAAACACTCAGGCGTCGCGCGATATAAGTTCGCCGCGCAGGCCGAGAGAAATCGTTTAGCCTGGCGCGTTCCATCGCCGCTGCGGCGAATTACTCGTCCTCTCGTGCCAATTAATCGCGACGTCTCACGTCGAATTCCTGGACTGTTCTAGGCGGATTTGCAGAGCCGCGCGTCGCGGCATAATCACGTGCGTCGCACAAACAGCGATTTAGGAGGCCAGAGGCTGCTCCAATGGGACACCAGATCGGGATACGTTCACAATTATCGCAGGATGCTGTCGACTCCGTCGCCGATCAAGACGAGGCCGCCCAGGCTCAGCCCGAGGCATTCCTCCCATGATATCGTTACGCTCAGAAGGTGCGTTTAATCACCGCAAATGTGCTTAGTGCCGAGCAACCCTTGTCGCGTACGCCTCATTAACCCATCGCCATCTGCGAGAACCACGGCCTAACGAAGGCTGTAGGAAACTCAAGCAATCGTTACGTGCTTGAATCGTCGAACTAACGACACGCCCCGTCTCTCGCGCCTCCGCTTGAAAATATGCAGCAAGTGGAACGCATATACCAAAAGAATTCCAAGAGATCAAATATACTGAGAAAAACAAAGCGAAATGTAAGTCTGCAATAGCGAGGGACTGAGGAATGGAGGTCGTTTTAGTAAACCCGATATATTTATCTCCTGTTTCTATTCTCAAAGCTATTTCTCTCTTGATGTACTCTAAGTAAAAAGATTAGAGATAGACTTTCGACTACAATTACAAACGAAGAAGAATTTTCCTCGTATTTATCATGTAATAAATCCTCCGTCGCGGATCTCTTTTATTTATAATTTCACCAGACATATCTCGATTCTCCCTCGAAGGAGAAATATTTGAAAATATTTGAAAACGGCTCGAGTGCGTTGCGCTCGCTTGGGTTTCCATAGTCGAGACAAGCTATAAGAGCTTTCACCGCGAGTGTGAGGAGCTAGCAGTGTTGCAATGAGGAGGCGATAAAAGAAAACGATAGAGAGACATATTGAACGCTTGTTAACCGCTCTCTTTTAGCCGCACGGCCGAACCTTCTCTGTAGCCTGACGCGCTCGCTCTGCTTCTTTATTTTTCAAATCAGTAACAATTTGACTTCTTCCCGATAAACGTGACACTTACATATCGGTCCGCACTATGAACAAACACATTCCCCCGAACGAAAAGTGACAAGCTGGGAAAATTTAAATAAGTTTGTTCTCGAACCTTTCCAGTAAATCGAGGGAGAATAGTGGTAGGTAAAAGACGGGTATATTATAACAAACCACCTTCTCTTAATCTTTCCTCGTAAAAAGTTGATCTGTGCCAAGCACACGTAAAATGCGTATATCTTGTGTCGTGTTGTACTATATATACATATACATATATCTATATACATATTATATACCTACTACCTATTGTAATTCGTTGCTGAATGTTGTACCGACGCTTAATACCTCAAGTACACGCTTCTGTTGATCCTCCGCTCGATGCCGCACGTCGACGCATACGGAAGCGAATCGGTATCGAACTAATATTCTTCTTTCTCTTTTCCTTTGCGCTCCAGTAACGCGAAAGGGAGGAGTTCTCGGACAAATTTGAGGCGCTCGCTTAGCCAGCCACTGGGAATCAATCAGCTCTCGCCGCTGATGCGCACCAAAACTACAGGTGAGCACCCTCCTAACGCACTCGCGCTTCTCAAGTTCTAGGATAGTTCTCGAGTTCTGACGTAGATCACGTTCCTCTTGTTTTCCTACCGAGCACGTGTGCAAATCGCTTCCTCATCGTCTGAAGAACGCTCGCGCGTTCATGTGAATCGTCACTTGAAACTGAAAACGATCGTTACATTGCTGCAAATGCCGTTTTCTTTGTAACTTAACTCGCCAGATGTTTTATCATTGAAGGACATACATATTACCTGCTCACGGCCATACCTGCTCGAGGCCAGTGTAATATAATGCGAGAGAAAAGCCAAGACAGAAGGAGAAATCGGGAAAGATAACATTGAATCGAAATAAAAATATTCAAAGGATATAATTTATAAGGAAATATTATAAATATTCAAAGGATTAAAGAGTAAAGTATTTTTTTGCAAGTATTCTCGATGAAAATGCCCCGATAATTGAAACCACTGAAGAAGAAGACAGTGTAAATGTAAGGAAAAGGCACACGCGCTGGATAGGAAGACTTTATGCAAGTAGAAAACCTATCGATGAACATCTCTTAGTGCACAGTGTACTCCAGAGGGCTTCGGTTTCTCTCTAGACAGAAGCCTTGAAGAGTATTCAGCATGCAACCCCGTAAAGACAGCCTTGTTGAACATTCACATCGTGTTGTCGTCGAATGCACTCTCGTAAGAAAAACGAAAAGAAAAAAAAATAATGAGAAACAAAAAAGAAAAGAGACAAAGTAAGGAATGGGTCATCCCTTGTAATAATCGTGCTGATTTTCACCCCTGTAAAAACGTTGCTTCATGTGAAAACGCTTCTGTTTTGCAAGCCGTAGTAGAGAAGAGAAAGTGGAAGACACAGAGAACGAGTTTGCCGAAGAACCTCGTAAAAGCGACGGCTTTCGCCACCGCGTTCCCGCTTTCAAGGGGGATGCAGCCTCCCGAGGGTGCGATCAATCGCGCGCTCGCGGTTAACTGAATTTTTAGGAGGTACTCCGGCAGACTCTCCGGTTCACCTTCTCGTGGAATCTCATGAAAACTGTTTCATTCTTTTCCCGATGGCTCACGCCGAAAGCTGCACAGTGGACGGTTTTTTGGCCAGGGGGCGATGTGGGGGTGGTTGTGTTGTCTTACTCAATTACTCCCAGTGGAACGCCGGCGAAATGCAGTGAAATGTCGCATACGTCGTGACATTCTCTACACTGTGAATCATTTCTTTATCACAGTCTTCGTCCTGACGAGTTTTACATAAAAAAAAAGAAAAGAAAAAAGAATATTGAGTTGTTCCTCTTGAAGAAGAAATTTCAAATTGTAACTTTCCATTCGTGATATTTCTCGTAATTGTCACTTAAATCACGCGTAGTGCATATGCTGTAATTTTAGGAGAGGAGCTCGGATTATTGGAGAACCGCCGTCATGTCTGAGCGAAATGTTCCTCTCGAAAGCTTGCAGTGGAATCACATACGCCAAATTGATTTGCATATTTTTTAAGTCGCAAAGTTTTGGTTTGCAAGTCGGATCAACGTACGACCGGCGGGCCGCGTATCGCGCTGTACGCTCGGCGTTTATTTTCTCATGCGGCTTACAATAATACCTTCTACTCCGGAACAGGCGTGAGGTTGCCCGGTGGCAATGTGCTATCCGAGGACGAGCAGGATGGTAGAGCCGGCACATCCGACGATGAGATGATGTCCGACTCCGAATCCTCGGTCGCCTCGTTGACGGACAGGAAGAAGTCGCTCGAGCAGACGATGGATGAGGACGTCGCTATCCTGGCTGAGGCTGTTTGGGACCACGTGGCGATGGAGACGGAGGAGTTGGCTTTTCGCGCCGGGGATGTCATCGATGTCCTCGATACGTTAGACAAAGATTGGTGGTGGGGCAGCTGTAGAGGAATACACGGATGGTTCCCGGCCGCTTTTGTCAGGGTAGGTAAATTCGTTTGAAAAAAGAAGGTAGAAAAGGTTTTGTTGATATTTAATCAATGGCATGAACAGGACCGATAAAAGCTGTATACAAACGTGCAGTATGACAACAAATGTTGCACCTTTTTTAGCACTTGTTTAACTTAAATTAAATATAATCACGCAAACTCTGCGTTATTAATTTTCTTATCTGATCCTGCATATATATATATATAATAATTCTGAATTAATACTATTACTTCTGCTTGAAAGAATAGAATCTGCTTTTATAGAATAGAAAGAATATAGAATATTAGAAAAAAGATCAACTGAATGTTTTTGGTAAAAAGTAATAAAATTACATAGAAAGACACATGTATGTGTGTGTATATTCAGATAAAATCATTTAAATAATATATTTAGTCATTAAAAGTAAGTAGTTAAAAGTATAAGTTAAGATAAAAAAATTAAGAAATTTGTATATATTTTTATAAATCCTTATCGAACTTTTTAAGCTAAGTCATTCCTTGTTTTTTTTTTTTTTTATCATTCCAGTGTGGTTCTTTTATTATTTTTTGTATTTATAGAATAAATATATGTTGTTGAACAAATTGATGTGTCCGCAGTTACGAGTGAGTCAAGAGGACACAGTGGAAGATTGTTTGGCCGCGATGGCTTCTGGAGTATCTTCGGCCACTCAGCTGAGAAGACGCACAAGCGTGTCCCTCCTCTCGAATGAGCAGGTGAGGACCAGCGTGGTTCGCGAGCTCGTCCAGACCGAACGCGACTTTGTGAAGGTTCTGCGCGACGTCGCCGAGGGCTACATCGCGGAATGTCGCAGGCATACGGATATGTTCTCCGAAGACCAGATCGAGACGATCTTCATCAACCTCGAGGAGCTGCTAGACTTCCAGTCCGAATTCCTGAAGGACCTCGAGGCCTGCATCGATTGGAACGCGCCGCACAAAAGCTGTGTCGGCGAGTGCTTTCTGAATCACGTTAGTGACGTTAACGAGATTACTTATTTTTCATCGATGATTACGCGTATTTGACAAATTGATCGATATTGATTTGATTTTGGGCCACAGTTCTTTCAGACCAACGAAAAAGGTCGAAGAATCGGATGTAATTCTGTACGTAACTTTATTCACTTCCAAGAGTATAATATAAAGTAAAGAGGTATTGTCGTTTTCAGAGGGCTGGTTTTCGCATGTATTCCGAGTACTGCAACAGCCACCCGATGGCGATGGCGACGCTGCAGGAGCTCTACCAGCACAATCGTTACAGCAAGTTTTTCGAAGCTTGCCGTCTGATGAGAGGTCTCATAGAGATTCCGTTGGACGGGTATCTTTTGACGCCCGTGCAACGGATATGTAAATATCCCCTCCAGTTGGCGGAACTGCTGAAGTATACGAAAACGGATCATCCGGATTATCACAAGATTCAAGAAGCGCTAGAGGCGATGAGAGGCGTCGCGGTGCTCATCAACGAGAGGAAGAGGCGGATGGAAAGTTTGGAGAAACTGGCCGCGTGGCAAATGCGTGTGGAAGGTTGGGAAGTGAGTTACTTTTCGAAAGTACCCTTGCAACTTGTTTGCGACTCAAAACGTCTTGACGTTCGGAGCGTTAGACACTAAGACTTCATCTAATAGGGTCGCTAAAATCCATTTAATTGGCCGTAGGGTGAGGATCTCATAGAAGTTTCGTCACAACTGATTTACCAAGGTGAGGCGATGAGAGTGACGACCGGCATGTGGACGAACAACATTATCCTATTCCTCTTTGATCATCAACTGGTCTATTGCAAGAAAGACATCCTTAAGCGCAATACTTACGTCTACAAAGGGCGCATTTATCTCGATACTAGCGAGGTTATCGATGTGCCCGATGGAAAAGGTAATCGACATGTGTATTAACTATGTATTGTCTTGATAACATTGATAATTAGTAACAAATTATCGTCAATACATATTTTTTATGACACGAAAATGATAATAAATTGATGTGTTTTCAGAAAATTCTAATTCTAATTTGCATATTGTATATTGTAATCAATCATAGTAGAAGATATTAAATAATTAGCCAGATATATCGGTGTCGCTAATGTGATACAAAATATTATTGACAAAAATAGATGGAAACAAAAATAATCGGTTTTCTCCGTAGATCTTCAGTCAGGTGTGACTGTGAGGCATTGTCTGAAGGTATACAGCTGCGTCCGAGATAAGTGGCTGTTATTCTGTTGCCGTACAGCGGACGAGAAGCGACGGTGGCTAGCGGCCATGGCTGAGGAACGAAGATTGGTGGCTCAGGATAGGAATGATGGATTAGAGTTTCCGGCTGCAGCCAGGCAGCTCGCCAGGCTAGCTGCTAGCAGACAGCAAAACAGACCACCAATTAAACCTCGCAGTACGTTCTCACTGTCCTATTTTCAAGTTTATCAATAAATCTTCATTTCATCAAAGAACTTGATTTTAAAGTCGCTCTAGAATCAGTTCGTGTCGATTCTCATTAATTGATATCAATTTGATGAATTTCTCGTAGTTTAACTTTAATTGATTTAACTTTCAATTTGATGTAGACAAAACATACAAGAGGGAGTCGACGTACGAGATGCCGACGATGGTCGCACAGGGCACCACCAATTCGCTTGGACGAAAAGTCGGGACTTGGTTCACGTTCGGTAGCAGCAAGAAGAGCACGCGGCTTCAACCGTCCTGAGACAGGCCTACCTTCGTGCCGTATATTGACTTGTAAAGCTGCGGCCTTACGGCGCTGCGTCGTCCTGCTGAAATCCCGGCGCACGGCTCTTCGATATTCAGTAATTTCGAGATCTGCTCGAACGAGCGTTCGATCGAGGACTCGATCGCAATCAGGGTAATATTGTTCGCCATGTGCAATTGCAGTCACGCGTGCGGTCGAGTCGACGTTCACGAATCGACTGACAAACCGCTGGGATTCCTCAGCACCGACGACGCGCAGCGCTCTGTCATATATACGGCACGAAGGTACTTAGTATTATTTACACTCGTTTAGCTGAGTATATCCTATAACGTATACCTCTTCTACCAAGATAGAACAAGTAGTCGATCCCATCAGTCGATCACGATCATCGCGTTCCGCCTATCGAGTAACCGCGCGACTCCGAAAGCAGGAGAAGGAACTTGAATGACTTTTCACTCACTGCCTCTCGCGCGGAGAAACGGACGGATACTTCTCTTTATTGAACAGACGCTGTCATGTCGTCCAAATTAGATATCGCGTGCTTAAAGTCGAGACACGAACTGGGTCGACGAGAAGCACTCGTTATGTTTTTGAGTCTTGTTCAGCAGCGACTTCTTCAGCGTCAGTCCTCGAGCTGTTAGGCCTCGAGCCGATTCCCGATCGTCTTCGGGCGCGTCATTCACCGATATTTAAAACTATCGTTTTCGGCGCATCAGCGTCTGATCCGAGAAATTGTCGCCGCGAACTAACCGAATGGACATTTCGAGAAAAAGCGGCGAGATAGATCCGAGAAGGAGCGTAAAATTGATTTTGTAGATACATTTGGCGAAGGGCGCGTCGCGCACGGGACTATCGTTAAATAATTCATGAGGGTAAATTAGAGGAGTAGAGACACACCTAGGGAAACGCATAGATAGTAAATGTATAAAGTCAATAGCGGGCTTCTGAAGTACTAAAGAGAAAGTACTAGTCACTCCTTTATCGCGGTTTCATAATATATAAACGCCGATAAATATCTCGGCACGTATATACATATATTGTTAAACGCGCAATCGCTTTTATCGAGTCGGAGCATGAGCAGCTGGATGGCATGTTGTTACGGCTGTATGTTTCTTTTTTTCTATGATAATCGAAAGACTGACGACCGAGACGCTTCCTCTCGGCAGGAGACCGGTTGTAATCTTGGGAGAGAATTGCGAGAAATCGAGATCGAAACGGGAGAAGACTTGAAGACGTCGGAGTATTACGTACGTAGATCCGCCTTCGTCGAGATCGCTCGACACTGCTACGTGTGTGTGACTTTTGTAAATCAACTTTATGTTGTACCCGCCGGGGTACAACGAGAAAACTGATCGTTTTGTAGTATTGCGTGCAGTTCCGCGTGAAAGTGTCAGCAAGTTCGATCACAATGTTACACCGGTCGGCGGGCGCGAGATACCGATTTTACTCGCTCGTACGCGGCCAACCCGCGATTTGTTCCGCGATCAATTTCGACCGGCCGCCGATTTCGCACACACCACTTTTCTCTCAACGAAACCTAGATGTATCTCGTAGAAGAAGTCTCCAGCGAGCTATATACGATAACTTTTACTGCCTAACTAATGTTCGGTATTCCGCATAAAGCATTGTAATCGTAATACTCATAGTAATTTGTAAACGAGATCCGATAGGCGGGAGGACGAGAGGAGAAGTGGCGATGAAGAGGAGAAGGAAGGAAGGAAATTTATGTTTCTATACGCAACAGCGGCAGTATTAATCATACGCGGATAAAAGAACAGTGATTAAACTAAATATGTAAATACTCGCATATCACGCCTCCCTGTCCGATCGCGATACGAAGCGGCGAGCTTCTAAAAAAAAAAGTAAAAGGAGAAAGAGAAAGAGAACAGGAGAGGGAAAAAGAGAGAAACGATTGAGACGATCTTTAAAGTTTTCTACTCTTCTATAGAAAGATACACAAAGATTCGATAACGAGGTAGAGAGCCGAAAGTCAGCAAACTGAAGAATCTCTGCGTTTTTTCACGCAAAAAAAAAAAAAAGAACTCATGTTTCACCGTTGCGCATTGTCTACGGTTTTTACTTGGCAAGCAAAAAGAAAAAAAATTGTTCGATCTTGGAGTTTCAGCAAAACTTAATCACGGATCCTGAAAGTTTTCCAACACTGCCAATAAGTTTAAAAGGAACATAACGTCTTCGTTCGTTAGAATTGTTTAATCTGTTTTTTAGTAGAGAAGAGACCGGCATTCCCGATGCGTACTTTGTAAAAGGAACAGAGAGCGAGATGTCGTTTCAAACGTTTGCGTCCGGGGATGCGAGATACGACTCTGGTAGACTCTGGGGACACTTGCGTTTTTGTATGACACAAACACAGATGGGTATATTTTCGCTTATTTGCCGACACCGTAATTTACTATACGACGAGGACAATATAATGATAAAAGAATGGATCAAGATTCCTATGAAGTACTGTACAGAGATCATTAGCCTGTTGATGTTTAGATTAGGAGAGACCGCGATCTGTTGCTGGACCCAACTCATTTCAGAGTTATTTTTATAGGAGAGACGACTCATTGGTTCTCGAATGTGATTTTCTTATAAGTATTGCTAACTATGCTTTAATGGCCAATGTAAGTATAAGGGACAGGTATCTCGTTAAGGATAAGCAGCGAGGCTACACCGAGGCCGCGAAACGCGCCGAGGTTGTTCGCAGGCGACGTCTGTCGTCGAGCATATTTAAAGAACGTCAAGTGAGATGTATATCGCCGACCTTCTTTAAAAACGGTCTCTAAAACAGCCGTCTCTCGGACTCGCGTGTCTTGTCCGGGCACGATAACTAACTGCGTAATGCACAATTAAGCACCGATGACTTTTCGCACTCATAAGAAACCCTTGCACCACGTGCAGACGAGTAATCTGAATCCGCGAAAGTCCGTATCGTACGCTCACGAGCTCCCATTGGCAAGTAAACTACATATCTTACTATATACGCAATCTCGACACGCGCCGACTAATTTATACCTCGGTGGTGGATAATAATCTGTCCCCCGGTGGTGGATGTACCCTATATCTTCCTCTTGAGAGAAAAGATAAACCTGTTACATTCAAAAATTGTCAAATAGGATCTGCACGAAACACGAGGGAATGTGCTTCGAAGCAATAAATACTACTAAGCGTTACTGTTGCGATAATTTAAGCTGTTACGAGCGTAACGACGTTTTTACATAAACAACACACATACATCATACGCATACATGCACACACACACACACACAAACACACACACTCACAACAGACACAAATATTTTCCCTGAGATCCGATATCGATAATCGTGTGCGTGCACTCTGACGACGTGGAAAACGGAGCTCGTTCTCATTGCCGCAGCAAATAACAATTGTCTCGCGGTCTAATGACCTAAGAGGAAGAAACGCAGATACCGCGTACCGTATCGCTCTGTTTTCTGTACATACGTAGGCATATTTTGTAAGTGTAAATACCGTAGGTTCACTCTCATTAGAGGAAGCAACTTCATTCACCACGTTGTAGCGATTTAAGTGACCCTACTTGTTAAGCAATGTATTTGACGTTCGCGTATGGTTGATTATCGATTAAAACGGTGTGAAAAATCGTTTTGTATATTTATATATCTGATTTAATGAGTTCGACACGCGACGAGCTTCCGCGCGATGGATTGTTCGTGTTAAATAATTATTGTTTACGATGTGTACAGTAGAACGTTACACGATATGATTGCGATTGTTTTCCAGATACGAGTATATACTGAGTTACACATATATGTAAATAAACATTTTATAACTATTACATCTTGTTCAGATTTCTTTCTCTATCTTTATTTAATATCTACGATACTGTTATATATAAAAAAAAATATGTATATGTGTTTGTGCACGTGTACACTAGCAATGAAATAGTTTTAATAAAGTCTATAAATTATCTAATGTTAATCCTTAATACAATCTAAGAGCCGAGTACAAATACGTTGTCCTTTGTAATTTGGACCTTCAATTTGGAATTCTCACTTCTCAAATCACTCACTACTTGTCGAAGATTCTTAGCTTCTTCTGTTAACTGTGCATTCTCCTCCAGACTTTGAATCAGTTTCTCCTGATCCTCTCTTAATTTTGTAATATACTCGCACGCTCGTGCCAATATACCACCTTTGCTCTATAAATAAAAGTATCATTATTGTAATAAATAATATAGACATCACAATAAGAAGCAGCAGAATTATTAAAGTGCAAACAGCTCTAAAGAATTGTAAATATCATACTTGTAATTCAAAGTTCACTTTCGCGTCTCCTTCTCCGTTCGCATTTTGGTCACAGTCTGGCAATAGTTTCCCCAATTTAGATATCCAATTGTTGATTTTGTCTCTTCTGCGTCTCTCAACCTCATTGTGTGTTACTCTTCGCCTTTCATCCCTCTAAATATAAAACAAATTTGATTCTCTAAATATATATCAGCACACCGATAAAATCAAGTGCAACAGAAATAACGAGAAATCTACCTTTTTTATGCCTGTGATGATATTTTGTGATCCTTCTATTTGTAACTTTGCTACACGAGGTGCTACTGATCTCGCAGTATCTGATGTAACAACATCAGTACCATTGCTCAATACATATAATTGTCCATTTACTGGGGAAGCTAACACCTGAACAGCATTATTCACAGGAGTAGCTATTGAAACTTCATTATTCTCCCTGTTAGCATCGCTAACTTGCATAACCTTGTATGTTACTGTATTATCACCTCTGTTTACTGCATACAAGTGATACTGTACATTCTCGTCATCAACCTCTGCTTCTGCCTCTGCATCACAATCTACTATCTCTGCTTCTTCCAAAACAACACCAACGGTATCGTCACTCATTATATTCTCATCTGTACTATAACATAAACAAGGTTATATTATGTTGTCAAAAAAATAATAATATATAATATAAATAAATACACTTGACACACATAAGATAATGAATATTTAGACAATATAAAATTTTGGTCTAAATTGCCGTGGCGTAAAGACGTGCTGAAATCTGTTCGGAGGTAGACTTTTTTGAAAAATATATATATCTTGGAATTATTTCAAAGATCGTCTATTAATCAGAGAATGGCATTGCCAAATTAACATAATACACATCTTTTAACGTTGAATGACGTTGGAACAGAGACCTTATTAGATGCTTGAAATCATATATTGAGAGAGAGAGAGAAAGAGAGTTAAGTAATAGGTGAATTGGTGAGAAATACGTGTACCTTTCATCCATCGTGTCCAGATGATTGATGACTTCCATCTCAATCTAGCACCTCCACGACCACCCGGATGTAAATTTTAAGAGTAAGTAAACAATATCGTTTTTCTTCACTCTGCTTGAAATTTTTATACACATGAGATACGTTCTTTTTAGCTGAACTTTCTGCACTAGTGCAAGAGATATGCACTAAAAACCGTTGTTTACAATTTGCCAGCAAATACAGCAAGTGTAAAAATTGATAATAAATATTTTAATACAGCTTTTTTATATCTTATAATTTAAAAGATTACAATCTTAAATATTAATAAAAATATATACAAATAGCTATTATATATTTACATCTATTAAAGCATCATTTATTCTGATCGCGAAAAATTAGCAAATTCGATGTGGACTGCAACACTCATGAAAATAAAGACAATAAGATAATTCACGAAGCATTTTACATTTTAGAAATTCTAGTTTTTTAATATATCTTTAAATATTATCCATTGTAATCTTAATGTAAGTAAATTTTCGACTCAAAAATTCAACTGAAAAAAAATTAAAATTAAATGATCGTTTTTCATTTAACTCGATATATTTCAACAAAACAGTAGCAACATTATGATCTTCGCATATCTAAAAACTAGAGATTTTAATCTGTAAAATGCTTTTCGAGTTCTCATTATCTTTATTTTTATGAAAGTTACAGCTCGTCGAACTTTATATATTTATCATGATATAAGTAAAAGTACTTTTAACATATTGTTAAATTCTATCATTAAAAAATATAAAGTACGTTCATGTTGTGGCTGCATTCGTTTTGGCGCTTATAGCGCATGTAAGCATCATTTGTCCTTGTTTAGTATTTGATAGAAACAAGGATGAAATGATGCTCAGAGCGTTGTAAACGCCAAAACGAACGCAGCCTGGTCGTGCTACGACTTCGATTTTTCGTTATGGACGGTGGCGACTCGTAGCGGATATTTTACAACTAATTTGCAAAGTCTGTTACCAAGATTCAAACCTACAAGATTCAAACAATGTACTTTAACACTTTTAGACATATAACTTGAGTAATCGACACATACAAAAATTGTATAATTACGCAGAAAAAAATATTTTTTCTACAAATTACATGCTTGAAAATTTTATAATTGATTGAATAAATGATGAATGATTGAATAAATATTGAACACTTTTTCTGCAAAGTTATATCGTATTGATTGGTCAGAATTATAAGCGTTTTTACATATTGAAGGTACGAAAATAATTGCTCAATATATATCTATTTTTTATAGCTCTTATATGAAAATAACATTATTTATAAGTATGTTTGTGTAACCACTAAAACGTATTATTACTATAGAAATCTATAGCAAGAGTTAACTATTTCTCAATCTCTTGTTTATTATTTTTAAAGGAGTGGAACAGAATGAAGGGAAAAGTAAGGCGACTCTATATTATTTCAATATATTGAATTTTATTACAAAATGTTTGTATTTAGGCTACAACATGTAATATAATAATTGCGTTTGGTCTAGACCCTTATCAAAAAAAAAAAAAGCTAAACTGCACCACGTTTACTATTGTCTTAACGAGCCAGTTTCGCCAGTTTACGCCTCGAGAAGAGACCCACAAGAGGAAGAGCAGAGAGACAAGAGACACACGTAAATGCTACAAAAGTTGCCATGCACGTTATTAAAATTAAAACAGCCCATGCTCATGTCGCTATCCAGAATCGTTCAACGTTTCTGTAGCTGCAGCAATTGTTCGCAAATATATCCGTAACACATCAGAGAATATACGTAAAATACATATATCTGAAATATCGATAAATAAACCGATCGAATATATTGGTAATTTAAATTGATGCGTACATAATTTCCATATATATTCAATCGTACATATTCGAATAATTTCACTAAATGCAAACAGTGTCACCCATAAAACCTGCGGATTTTTGTCCAAAAGAACATACTCTATACCTCGGAACTGGAATGACAAATATTTCGTAGTCTAAAGACGCAAAGAACGATCAAAGAGTTCAACATATTGATATGTAAGTCAGGCAAAAATTAAAATAAGGAAAGTGTCTTGAGAAGAAAACGAAGAACGATATGATTTGGATGTACATAAAATATAATAAGATTGTATATTTTTTCATGTTTATATTTTATATATTATATAAATATGTATATGTATGTATAAATATATATTCATAAAAAATTAATTAATCAAATTAATTAATATATAATAAATCAAAGTAATTAATCAAATTAATTCCCTAATTAGCTGAAAGTAATTTCAATTATTTGTGTGATTATTTGTGTGATTATTTCTTCCAAATATTTCCAAATCATATCTACTGTCTTTGTAGCCACAAAACATTCGTCGTTCTAATACCGATATACGTTTCACTAATATCCGATTTTCAATACACGAACGAAACACCTTGTTGCTTTCCTCCGTACGAATCACCATCGAGATATGAGATCGCAGGATATTCCTGCCAATTGCACGCTAAACAGAAAAAGGAGGAAGCAGTAAGCGATATTACACGACAGAGCTGACTTTTTCGAGGCGCAGTCTGAAGATCGGCGGCTCTAAAGACATGCTGTGTCTAAAGAAGAAGACGATAGTGATTGTACATCGAACTGCGTACAACCGAGATATACGTCGTAATAGGTGTAAAAATAATAAAATTAGTGGTAGTAAACCCCTCTATTACATTATACGGCGTGTGGTTGTGTGTTCTCATGAGTGTATGTGTGTGTATGTGTTATAACCGTTTAATTCGGTCGTCAAATATTCAACATAGTAAAGGAAACTCTCCCAAGCAAGCTAATTCTAAGATAAATGTAATATCTTTTTTTCGCTTATTCATATAGCTTCTATTTATATTAGGGGTATGCACGTACGTGATAACTAAACAGATACAATGATTTTTTCCTTCCTTCCGCGCCGCACATGTAGCCACTAACGGCCGCTCGTTTTTTAACGCGATTCTTTCAAAGAGCAGGAGGCTGTCACAATCATCGATAGTATCCGACGAACTGAGAATCTGAAGCTTAACGAAGCGCGGGACACATATCTTCGGCCTAGAATCGTTAACTGTATCCGTTTGAATATACGGTTTTATCCAAATTTCCTTCACGGAGTCCGGTGTCTCATCCATCGACCGATATTCATATTGCATATACACTTAGCGCTAAATATGGTCCGACAAGCAGTCCTAAAGACGTCCGACGACATTAATAAAAATTCCACTAACTGCCTTAACTTGTTGCACAATTGCATGTATTTTCCTAACATCACAATCAGGAAAAGACAAAGAATTGACTCGTTACACAAAGTCAGCTCTTATTAATTGTTATATTAATATTAATATATTATAAAATAATATATATTATATATTAATATAATTAATTATATTATATTAATTATAATTATACTTTGTTAACGTTCAAGTCAAAGCAGTCTAATCCATATACAACACATAATAAATGTACAAATACAATTGTTGCATTTGAAAAAATTCAGAATCGAACCAGATTTAGTGCATTTGTCTTTAAACGAGAATATAGATACCGATCGAACAGAAGTCCAGGAAGGAACTTTAGATATAAAGCCCAAACCATCCTGTCCTTCAAATCACGCGCTATAAAAGCATACCAGCCACTCGTAGAAATCTTGTCAAATTTATTTGTCAAATAA